GAGTTGACAGAAGTAGGCTTCAGAAGATCGGTAATAACAAACTTCTCCGAGCTAAAGGAGGAAGTTCGAACAAATTGCAAAGAAGCTAAAAACCTTGAAAAAAGATTAGACGAACGGCTAACTAGAATAAGCAGCATAGAGAAGACCTTAAATGACCTGATGGAGCTAAAAACCATGGCACGAGAACAATGTGATGCAAGCACAAGCTTCAGTAGCCGATTCAATCAACTGGAATAAAGGGTATCAGTGATTGAAGATCAAATGAAAGAAATAAAGCGAGAAGAGAAGTGTAGAGAAAAAAGAGTAAAAAGAAATGAACAAAACCTCCAAGAAATATGGGACTATGTGAAAAGACCACAACTACATCTGATTGGTGTACCTGAAAGTGACAGGGAGAATGGAACGAAGTTGGAAAACACTCTTCAGTATATTATCAAGGAGAACTTCCCCAACCTAGCAAGGCAGGCCAACATTCAAACTCAGGAAATACAGAGAACGCCACAAAGATACTCCTTGAGAAGACCAACCCCAAGACACATAATTGCCAGAGTCACCAACGTTGAAATGAAAGAAAAAATGTTAAGGGCAGCCAGAGAAAAAGGTCAGGTTACCCACAAAGGGAAGCCCATCAGACTAACAGCGAATCTCTCGGCAGAAACTCTACAAACCAGAAGAGAGTGGGGGCCAATATTCGACATTCTTAAAGAAAAGAATTTTAAACCCAGAATTTCATATCCAGCCAAACTAAGCTTCATATGTGAAGGAGAAATAAAATCCTTTCCAGACAAGCAAATGCTGAGACATTCTGTCACCACCACGCCTGCCCTAGAAGAGCTCCTGAAGGAAGCACTAAACGTGGAAAGGAACAACCGCTACCAGCCACTGCAAAAACTTGCCAAATTGTAAAGACCATCGATGCTAGGAAGAAACTGCATCAACTAATCAGCAAAATAACCAGCTAACATCATAATGACAGGATCAAATTCACACATAACAATATTAACCTTAAATGTAAATGGGCTAAATGCCCCAATTAAAAGACACAGACTGGCAAATTAACCTTAAATGTAAATGGGCTAAATGCCCCAATTAAAAGACACAGACTGGCAAAATGGATAAAGAGTCACGGCCCATCAGTGTGCTGTATTCAGGAGATGCATCTCACATGCAGAGACACACATAGGCTCAAAATAAAGGGATGGAGGAAGATCTACCAAGCAAATGGAAAACAAAACAAAACAAAAAGCAGGGGTTGCAATCCCAGTCTCTGATAAAACAGACTTTAAACCAACAAAGATCAAAAG